TATATATGCAATAAGATCACAGTAAACAGGTGATTTCAAAATATGCAAAACAACCACTCTGAAAGAATAGAGAAATTCCAAGCGCTTTCGTGACTACTCACATTATCATAGTTCCTTGATAATGTGAGTAGTCACGAAAGCGCTTTGAATTTCTCTATTCTTTCAGAGTGGTTGTTTTGCATATATATATATATATATATATATATATATATATATATATATATATATATATATATATATATATATATATATATATATATATATATATATAAATTCCTTAGAATAGACATGCGTGTTATAATTAAAAATATCTTGTAAACTGAATGGTGACCATGGAGGAGTTCACATGACTTGTGAAAACAAAGAAAATAGGTACAAATTTTAAAAGTTCCAAGAAAGAGGCACGACCTTTTTCCAGGGAGAGTAAGAAATTTCATCAAGCATGTAAGAGGACACAACACCGGCAACAGATCCACAACCTGACACTGACATGACACACCTGGAATCTTGTACCAGCAGCTTCCAACCCAACTCGTCCACCCTCTCTGGAGGGGACGAGAACCTGTTCCTCCAGATATTTTGAATATTCCAAGTAAAGAGCTGTTTAAAGTTTTATTTTAGTATTCTAGGATAGTGTGCAATGATCCTCTGTGTTTATGAATGGGGATGGAAAACCTACTATCACACAAGGTGTAATATTATTTTGTTTTTTCTAATTGAGTGGACCGATAAACAAGTGGAAGTGTTGGTCAAATGACAGCTTAGCGGATCGTGACTAATTCTTTTCATTAGTTATTTATCTCAGAAAGGCAACAAATTTTTAATGAACGGAAAATAAACTGTATTTTAAGAGCAAAATAATTTTTAAGTAAACCATTTATTCCACCTGGTAACTTGTTCTTTACATTGTATCACTGATGATGGAGTTTGACACTCAGTAACAGTTGAAAACTCTAAGATTCCCAATTGGGAGGACATCTATAACTGAAGATTCAAGCAGACAGAAAAACAATGTAAAAAGAGACGGTATATTACACTACGTTCTCAGTCTCGTAGCTTAAGCAGTCGCTGATGAATTTATACGATCATAATACACGCATACAGTCTCCATCAGTTATCCCCGAGGTGGTATCTCAGCGTGGTTGCCTGTTTTCATTTCTTCCGACAAAGCTTGTTTAAATTTGCGAACGCCTCAAACGTTCCAAATTTCCAACGCTGATGTATTATAAGTGAAAGTTCATGTAACTATAGGCATTTGCAAGTGTTCTGATGTCAGTGTTACATAGGCCAATCTCCCTTTTGGTTTCTTTACTTTTACTGGAGAAAGCCTCTCCCGGTCGTCTTCAAACTTTCAATATTGGTGTATTCTTCGTAGAAAATGCATGAGATTGTTATTGGAATGCGCAGGTGACAATAGGACAAATATATTTTTAAAATGGCATGGTATTATTTTCGGTGAAATATCTTTGTGCCTCATATGAACGGGTTCAGTCACTGAGCATATTTTGTGTGAACAAACACTGACATATTTATTAGAAAACGTTTCGGCCCTAGGACCTTGATCACTTCTAACATAGAGGTAGAAAGACATTTTATATAGGCGGAGAGTGAGGTGTGAGTGACGCATGGTGACGTGAGGAATATCATGTTGGGATGAGGAAGGGTAGACCGAAACGTTTTCTAATAATTATGTCAGTGTTTGCTTACGTGTCTTTCTAAACCAACTTGTCGGTATTTATTACCAAGGTTTATACCATATTTTGTGTAAATGAAAATTTACCAAAATACTAACTTAGTTAAGAAACTCTGAATCATTGAGTCTGTGAGGTAACTGCAGAATACCTCTTCTGATAGGCTTTAAACACACAGTGTTCATGTATTTGCTCAACTTTTGGTTTACACTGTTATTAGGCTGAAAAGATTCCAATTGTAATATACAAATTCAGATTAATTTCCAATCAATCACTTCAGTTTTAACAATGCGAATCTTACAAGAGGGATGAAAATTTAAGAACGTTTAGTAGACTGTTAAAATTTATTTTTAAAGCCACTGGCCGGGCACACCATAAACTCGGGTGTTTTATATCACCTCCGCCTCGGGGAGACCTGATCGAAGTGTATAAGTGGAAGATAGGTATTAATAAAGGGGATATTAACAAGGTCTTGAGGATATCTCTCCAAAAGAGAACCCGCAGTAATGGATTTAAATTAGATAAGTTTAGATTTAGAAAGGACATAGGAAAGTATTGGTTTGGAAATAGGGTAGTTGATGAGTGGAACAGTCTACCTAGTTGGGTTATTGAGGCTAGGACTTTGGGTAGTTTCAAATTTAGGTTGGATAAATACATGAGTGGGAAGGGTTGGATTTGAGAGGGACTTGCACATCAGAGCTTATTTCTTGGGTAGCATTGAAAATTGGGTTGGTCAAATGTTTGTTAGTGGGATGAATTGTAAAGGACCTGCCTAGTATGGGCCAACAGGCCTGCTGCAGTGTTCCTCCTTTCTTATGTTCTTATTTTTATGCTCTCCTGGAGCACAACGAAGGTTGGCTATCAAGCTGAAAAAATAAATTGACTTTATACTTACAGTGAATGATTAATTACAGAATTCTCATTAGCGACTTACGAGATAAAAAAAAAAATAAATCTTATTTAAAACTACAAAAAATAATTTAATATCTAACCAAATTAAAAATTTATGCATAATCTTTTAAATGCTGTTTTCTAATAAGTGTCACACAGGAAAATATCTTGTGTGGACTGCAATAAGTCCAGTTCTGTGGTATAAATGGAAGAGCAACCCGACTTCCACAGAGTTTAGCAAGAGCAAAGTTTAATACATTTTAACACTGCTCCATCATTGCCGGTAATTTAAAGTAAACCTATGGTTTATCCTGTTGTTCACTTGAGCATGTGATGATATGGGAACTCTGCTTATGAGTAGCTTAATTAAAACTTTCAGCATCGATGTATTTTAGAAGATTTGGATTTACATCTCATTGTGTAGGCATGATGATGGACGTGTAAATTTGGCATTGAGTTACATATGATAACGTCATAACGCCTTTCCCCAGTGGCTTCAAATCTTAGCACAGGTGAATTATATTTAAAAGAAAGTTTTGTTATTAATGTGTGTAGGTCAGCGATGTGCCAAAGTATCGGTATCGGTGGGTATCGGCCATTTTTACGGTATATGTACAAACCGCCGATACCTTTGACATTTTTAATATCACATGTGTGCTTAAAAATGTAATATCAAGTACGTTTGACTACCAGTAACTAACAAGCCAAGTTATGTGTAATAACTTTGTCATGTCAATCATTTAATATTTAACCTTCTAATATTATTTACTATTCATTGTTCAATAAGCATTCACTTTTATGCTGAACATCGTCATTATAATTTAAAAAAAATGAAAGAAAAATATAGGAACAGGATCGCTATCGGACGAAAATTGGTATCGTCCCATACCTAATATAGATACTAATTTTAAAATTAAATTCCCTTCAGAGGAAGGTACCTTATTGCAAAGGAAGGGTTCCTGATCCTAGGAACTGGATCAGTCCTTAACTTGGATTGAATCTAACCTCCTTCCAGATGCTGTATGACTCCTTCAGGCTTAGTAACGCAATCCTTTGAAAAAAAATGCAGTTCGGACCTGCACTCTGAGCGTCGCCTAAACCCATCTGTCTGTACGTCTGTGTATGAGGCTTAGGTTTATAAATAGTTAAATATTTATGCTGAAGGTCCGGAGCTAATTAGAAGAGGCTTTCACAAGTTAACACATACAAACTAACATCCTAGTTTCTTCAGGGATGGAACATAGGCAGCCCAAGAGTAATTCCAACCTATCTGTAAGAAACACCAAGTTGAAAGTCAGATTGAAAAGGCATTTAATTGTTAACTCAGACTAACATCCTAAAATATACCTGGACATAAAGCTTGAAGCTGCTGAGAAGATATATTGTTAAATTTTCAGCGTTGAATGACTGACGCCAATTGGATAACCCACTCAGATGTGAAGGTAGTTTTAGTCTTAGGAGCATGACCGCCCAGCAGGCATTTGTGTGTTAGCGTGTTAGATCCTCGAGAGGGAATACTAGTTTCATTAGTTTTAACGAGAAATTAGTGTGTGAGAAAGATAACATAAGTAGTATTACGAATAACCTATTACTATGGTATGAGTTCTGGAAGAACTACACTTGTGTCTCAATCTTCAAGAACTACACTGCCTGCACTATGAGGGAGAGGTGAAGATGCTAGGATTCTGCAGACCATCATCCCCTTAATTAATAGGAGACGATATTTCACTGTTAAAAGTAAAATGGTTGACTGATAAACGATACTTAAACAGTGATTATCTAACAAATATTTTTCTAACGTATTCTCTGAGCGTGTAAAAAAATGATCGAATTTCTCATATTTCATTTATTGCCGTTCTCGTATAATCTTTTTTTTACTGATACACAACAATGTAACCTAGCTAAACTAAGGTCAACCTAACCTAATTTAATTAATGCAAATTGAGTAATATGCTGCAAAGCATATGTGAGAAATCCACAAAATGAGGACGAAATGGCTGTATAAATAATGATGTCGATTCACTCCTGGAAAAATAATTGATGAACATGCACTAGACAACTGTTTCCATAACACGTAATATATAATACCAACTCTCCCGCCATATAAGAACAACTCAATTGTTATACAAAGACTTGCCTAGGTTAGGTTAGGTAAGGTTTGTCAGGAAACAGGACAAGTCTTTCCAGACGAGGGACTGAGATGATGACCCCCTGTTGGAGCTTTTGGTCATCTGACCGAGGCCTTCCGCTGGCTTACCGGTCTACCCCTTTAAAAATTATGGTCATAGTTATAACCAACATATTAGTAAGAAAGGACACGCATGAATATCTACCTTTTACATAAAAAATCGCCTGCTATGTAAGAAAACCATGCCTAGTTTACAAGAATAACTCAACTGTCATATACGAACAACTCACCTGGTATAGGAACACAACCGGATAATTCTCTGTGGTTTCACGTGGTTATAGCTGCCATGCATCAGCATGACGCCGCTCTCTCCTGCAACAAGACAAGGCATATATCACGGCTACGCGGAAAATGTTTAAAAAAATATTAAGTTAAAATTTCTTTTATTTCATTTATTTAATATATATATATATATATATATATATATATATATATATATATATATATATATATATATATATATTATATATATATATATATATCGTGCCGAACTGGCAAAACTGGTCAATTAGCAAGAACTCGTATAAAATTAAGTCCATTTTAAAATTTTCTCTTATACGTTTAAAGATATATTTTTTTCATTAATGTTAATGTAAAAATTTATAATTTTGCACCAAAAGAATCTTAGAAAACTTACCTAACCTTATAAAAAGAGCAATTTATTTTAGCCTAATCCAACTAAATATATTTTAGATACGTTTACAATTTTTTAATGCTAAACAAACACAGTGAAATATATTTTTTTCGTTAGGTCAGAAGTGTTTTCGCTTGCCTTATATGGCAACATGAGCATTGCTATTTAAGCCAAGATCGCAAGTTTTACATATTTCACCACGATATATATATATATATATATATATATATATATATATATATATATATATATATATATATATATATATATATATATAATTATTTATATATATGCAAAACAACCACTGTGAAAGAATAATGAAATTCCAAGCGCTTTCGTGACTACTCACATTATCAAGGAACAATAAAAGTAATACATCAAAGGAAGGCATATAAAGGGTCTAGACCACACCTCACCATCACATCCCTCAACAAAGCCACACCTGACGCGCGACTCATAAGAAAGAGAACACTGCAGCAGGCCCACTGGCCCAACTAGACAGGTCCTTCACGCAACCCACAAACTATTCTACCCAAGAATTAAGATTTATTATTTGTCCAATTCATTATTAAGTTCTTCCCTAATTCTATTTATTACAAATGGATCAAATTTATATAAACCAAAGGAAATATTTATGTTGTCAAAACTGCTTTTTATGAAACAAGATTCAATGTAATTGTGTGTATGTGTGTGTGTGCGCGCGGGCGCGTCAGGCGCTGTATAACTCTGATTTAGCGCTTCCTTCTTAATATAATTTAATAATAATGCCGCTTCCATGTAATGCTTGTACTAAAGTTCTTGTGACGTGTATTGTTTCTATGCGTCTATCAAAGTTTGTGACGAGCGTAGTGCTTGTACGAAAGTTTTTCAGGCGAGTCTAGTATTTCAAGCTTAGTCCTGGACATGAATGTGGTGCTTGCACTAAAGTATTTGACGAGTGCTGTGCTTGAAACGCTTTTAGAGAATCTATATTCAAGAAAATGAAACGTGTGAAATCTTAGGATATTTATCTGGAAATGTTTCGGTCATGGGACCTAGTTCACTGCTTTCTTATAAACGGTTGCAAAAATTACAGTATATAATGCCTAGGTGGAAATGAATGAAATCAAGTAGGTAGTATAAGTGTACTGGGCAGGATTGGAAAAATGCCTGGGGTCAGAAAAGGGGGCAGGTTTCGAGCAAATTACTACAAGATTCGGGCAAAATGAAAAAAAAAAATAAGTACAATTTGGAGAAAGACTAAAAATTTCAGTTATTTCCTTTATTTTATTAAATAACTACCCAAGTCCGTATAAGTTAAAATTGTATGCTACATGCAATACTTTCGAATTTAATTCACTGTTTGAAACTTTCATGATGGAAGTTCAATACTGAGAGGTTGGTAGGTAAGACTCACAGGCAACAGTTAGGCAACTTTATTCCGAAACGTTTCTGGGGCTGGGATGGAGGACATTGTTAGCCGTCTGGATGACATCATGAGAGGTAATGGGAGCAATCCTATTATCTGTCTCAGTGCTGGAGGCAACGATGTTGGCAGACGTAGGAGTGTAATAAAGTTGGTAGAATTACCGACAATATGTAAAGTAAAAGGAACACAAGTGCAACTAATGTGACATTTATTGTGGCAACAATTTATGAACACAAGCATCATCTTCCTTCTAAACTATTCATACGTTCCTTCAGGTTTCTGAAATCAGTTAGTTTGCCCTCGACAGAATGAATTGCAAGTTGAAATATTCGTTGATGTCTGATTGTTTCTGTGTACCCTGAGATTCCTTGATGTTACAGTGCCACTGTATAATAGAAAATGTCTAGTGTGAGTCGGATTAAGTTATACTTACTTATTTGATGGTAAATTTGTTTTAAAGCCCTATCAATAGTTCATAGGTCTGTATATCATCTTTACTTCAACCGTAAAAAAAATGTTTTTACTTAAAATAAGGGTCTAAGTAAGGTTCAGCTTATTGACATTGAAAGACGTGTGCTTTTCAGTCTATATAACCTTGATATTATATAAATGTTCTAGAAAACTGGAGTCAATGTGTTCAGTCCATCAATCATGATAAAAGTACAGCATATTCGCTGGGAATGAGGATATAGACTGAAAAACAGATTAGGTGAAGCAGTTGAAGGTGGTGTCCCCAGAAGAAACAAAAAGCACTGATGGAAATAGGTTATGCCTACTTAGTAGGCATAACTTAGTATCCCAAAATCTTCTTTACCTCATTCCAATAACCTTCCTATGGTGACCCCCTACCCTTCCTTCCTACACCTACACTCCAGATCTATATGCAATTCTAGACATCATATTTTTCTCTCTCTAAAACCTAATTTTCAAGCTCCAAATTCACGTCACACATTGTCAAACAGCACGACTCTACTGCCTCCAGCCTCTTCCTATAATCAAAACGCATGCTTCACACTCATACAACAGAGTTACTACCACTATGCTTTGGTACATTCCCCTTATTGCGTCTATGGGTAAAATTCAATGTCTTTACAGATGCCTCAATACACCACCCGTATTTTTCACTTAAATTTTATGGATCATGTCATCTCTCACACACCCATCGGCCGACAAATCAGATGCACCAACCCTCCTTCCCCATATCTCTTTCTCTCGCTCTCAGACATAAAAACACACACACAGGGACAGGAGCTGTGAATCTACCAATGCAACCACAACTAGGTGAGTACACATACACACCTGTGTACATATATATGTGTGTATATATTATATATATATATATATATATATTAAATATATTTATATATTTATATATAATATATAATATATTATATATATATTATATATATATAATTATTTATATATATATATTATAATGTCGTGCCGAATACGCAGAACTTGCGATCTTGGCTTAAATAGCAACGCTCATCTTGCCATATAGGACAGGTGAAAATTTGTTTATGCAATAATTTCGCCAAAATCATTCTAAACCTAGCGAAAAAAAATGTTTGTTGTGTTTGTTTAGTAATAAATTATTGTAAACGTATTTAAAATACATTTAGTTGTGTTAGGCTAAAATAAATTGCTCTTGTTATAATAAGGTTAGGTAAGTTTTTTAATATTCTTTTGGTGCAAAATTTAAAATTTTTACGTTAACATAAATGAAAAAAATATATCTTTAAACGTATAAGAAAAATTTTTAGAAAGGACTTAATTTTAAATGAGTTCTTGCTAATTGACCAGTTTTACATATTCGGCACGACTATATTCATATTATATTTATATTTATATATATATTATATATTATATATATATATATATATATATATATATATATATATATATATTATGCAAGGAATTCGCAAGAGCAGGCGAAATATACACAAACACTGATCTCTGGCTGAAGGAGACTCGAAACTACGAACCTTGGCACAAGGTACGCAGTGCTTTACCAATCTACCCACACTGGACAATACCTTGGCGTGCAACTTGCGTTACACGCTGATCCAAGGCAGCCAGCTTTCAGGGAGAAGGCTTACAGCTTTTCGTCTCATCCCCTGCATGCATCAGCCTTGCTAGAGATTTTAACAATGCAAGGAATTCGCAAGAGCAGGCGATATATACACAAACACTGATCTCTGGCTGAAGGAGACTCGAACCATTGTTAAAATCTCTAGTAGGCTGATGCATGCAGGGGATGAGATGAAAAGCTGTTAAGCCTTCTCCCTTAGAAGTGGACTGTGGTATCAGAGTTTGTACGCAAGTTGCCGCCAAGGTATTGTCCAGTGTGGTTTGTTGTTAAAGCATGTGTACTGTGCAAGGTTTCGTAGGTTCGAGCTCCTTAGCAGAGATGTTATTTATATAAGGTATGTATTTTTAATTTTTAGTCAAAATTTAATTTATATTATATAATAAAATATATTTTATATATATATAGAAATTTTAATATAATATATTTTAAATGAATTTGTAATTATATATTTATAATATTTACAATATATATTATTATTATATATATATATTATATATATATATATAATATATATATTATCAAGAATTCGCAAAACGAAATATACACAAAACATATATCTATGAAGGAATCAACTACAACTTGCACAAGTACGCATTTTTACCAATCATACACACTACAATACTTGATGCAATTGCGTTACACGTTATCAACAATTATTCAGAGATAGTTACAGCTTTTATTATCATCCTCATGATAGCTTTAGAATTTTAAAATGGTTATATCTATCAGCATAGATAGTATTTGTGTATATTTGTGCTCTTGAATTCTTGCATTGTTAAAATTTATAAGGCTGATGCATTGCAGGGATAATAAAAACTGTAATTCTACTGAAAGTGTTTTTATAAGTATATAACGCAAGTTACGAATATTATATTAGTAGATTTAAGATTATATGTAATTCTATTAGCCTATTATAGATTTTAGTGTATAAAAATATTATATATAATTTGTTGTGTATGTGAGAGTATTTGGAGGACAGTGACAAACGAGCAATCAACAAATTGAAAACTAGCGTAAGACATTTAGCAGTGTTGTCAGTACATTGTCAAGAGATATATAATGTTACAGGTGTCAGATCGACTAAAAAAACAATCAGAGATTAGTAGGCGGGGTGATCGATGTGATATAAGGCTGAACACGGTGCCAACATCAGAAAATTTTCCAGTTCACCTACCTAT